AGGAAAAAGCTTATGCAAAACTGCACCTAGTTCAGTCTTTACTGTTTGCTTCTTAAAGGGAGCAAGGGTAAGGAGACTGCTTCTTCTTTTCTGTAAATTAGATTTAAGCTAGCCAAAATGAGGGCATGTCTGATGAGGAGGATAAAGACAAAGGAGGAGGGAGAGAAGAACTAAGTAGGAGGAGGACAGGAGGACAAAATAGGAGAGAGGAGAAGGGAAGGGATAAAGACAGAAAAACTAGGGAGAAAGAAGGAGGCATATGATGGAGAGCAAAGGACAGGGAAAAGGGAATGAAGCAAAAAAAAAAAAAAAAGGAGAGGATAAGGGAAGAATAAATGGAAAATGTGGGGGCCACCATGATCACTAAAGGGAGAGACAAGAAGACAGAAATGCTCAGTACTTCAAAAGCATATGGAATTGCTAGGTCCAAAAAAGTAATTTAGGAGTGTGGTGAGTTTATGGGCAATGGCATGGGCAGAGTTTGAGCTTCAACAAACGGGACCACAATACAGGATAGGACATGTCAACAGGTGGGAGGGATCACACCCTCAGACCCTCCTTCCCCAGTTTCCTTGCCAAGGAAAAGGCTTCTTCAAAAAAAAAAAAAAAAAAAAAAAGAAAGAAAGAGAAGAAAAGGCTTCTTCGCAAGGCTGGAGAAGGAGGGAACTGTCCAGCCGTCTGGTGCTGAACCAGTCACTCAGGCAGAGCCTACTACTACTAAAGCTCCAGCTGCTATCCTAAGCATTGGGGAAATCAGCAGTAAATAAAACACAGTCTCCAACTTTATGAAATTTATAGTGTAGTGGGTCAATTACTATAGTACAATAATTTGATTCACTGGACTCTGCTCCATTACTGGGTTAACACAGATAACCTGCTTCCTTACTCTGGCCTCAGTGCACTTGTAGGAACAATGCAAAGCCAGGCCTGGTGGTGCTTGCCTGTAATCCCAGAATGGAGAGATGCAGGCAAGGGACAGTAAGTAAGATCAAGGTCAACTCTGCAATTAAGCGAGAAAAAAAAAATCTTAAAATGGCTGGAGATTTATATCAGCAGTACAGTGTGAGGCCCTGGGTTCCATCACCATTTCCACAGTAAGTAAATAAAATAGGAACAGTGATCCCTGGCTAGTGAAGAGGGTTTAAGGAGATTCCAAGGAGAGTACACAGAGAGAACTCTGCTGAGAGGAGGGATTCCCTCTCAGCAAACCCTTGTTCTGAGTCCCCAGCAATCACCACAGAGTCTAATCTAATCGCTTCAGTGCTTAATGGTGAGTGGCGGCAGGGCCTGGTGGACGTTCACTGAGAGCTGATGGCTTTATCCCTCACCCTGCAAGCATGTGCCTGAAAAGCACCAGCCACAGGATTCAAGGGAGTCAGACAGTAGTGCAAGGACAACAGAAGCTGAGGCCCAATTCTGAGTAGGTCCTGTAGTGTGGACCACAGGAACCTGGTCTTGAAGGACATTTGGGAATGAGAATGATATAACAGCAAATTAGTTTGGAAAACTTGGTGCAATCCTCTTGCCTTGGTAAGATTTCTACTGCTCATCACCAAGGCCAGGCTTTAGGAAAATCTGCTTAAATACCCTGTTACCAACTTTGGCCATGACATTTCTTCTTTTGGAGGAACACCTGTCATGTTAATCAGTTTTCTATTCACCTAAAAAATACCTGAGATAATCAGTTATGAAGAAAAAAGCTTTATTTTGGGTCACATTTTGGAAGTTCTAGTTGAAAACAGTTGGTTTTGTTGCTCCAGGCCTGTGGTGAGGTAGTGTATCAAGGCAGGAGTATATGATGAACAAACCGCTCACCTCATGGCTAGGAAGCAATAGAGGAAGAAAAGACCTGTCTTACAAAGGACTAGGGTTCCACAGTCCCTTGTAGAGGTTTACTCATAATGCTCAGCATGGTGGTATATATACCTGTAATTCTAGTACTCTTGGAGGCAGAGGTAGGAGGATCTCAAGGTCAACTCTGGCCCTACACAATTTAGCAACTTAGTGATATCCTGTCTCAAAAGAGACCAAGGTCCCACTGTCCCCTCTGGGGACATACTCATGATGCCTAATAACATTCTATTAACCCCCACGTCTTAAAGGTTCTACCACCTTCCAAGAGTGGCAACCTGAGGACTAAGACTTCAACACATGCAGGGCATTCAAGATCCAAACCACATCACTTAACACCACCTGAAGGCTGAGATTTGGGGAGGAATTGAGAAGTTTTGTCTCAGGAAGACAATTAGGGAATTTTTGGAGTTCTGTATCTTTGCATTTAGTGTGTGCCTATCACAAAATAGGTGTTCATTAGGCAATGGATGGATGGACAGATGAATGAATGAATATGTTGTTCTACTCACTTCCAAGTAGTTATAATTGTGGGAAGGGAAGGAAAAGTGATTCAAAACTCAGAGATTTAGGCAGATCATTGCTAGTTCCATGTAGATAAGTTTGGCTGGAGAACTGATGTGATTCATTCACATACTAACACATCCATTCATACATCAGCACAACCCGGTAAATGCAGTTCTAGGATTATCACTGAAGATGATAAGAATACTCAGGAAAGGATAATTAACTAAATATGGGGGTAAAGGAGGCCAAGAATTGCCTTCAGGAGGTGCCTAAAGGGCCTTCTTGGGGGAACTTTTAGCCCTCCTGTCAATTTTTCAGCCACAAAAATCATGCTTGGAGCTTCTTAGAATTCACAGGCAGCTGCAAATAAGATGGCTGTGGTTCCTTAGTCCCAACAAATCCATCTTACTCTGCCCTTTACTCCTTTTATAATTTCGGCTTGCTGTCATCAGCTGCTTGTCAGTCATCCCATACCGAGAAAGTATCTGCACTCTGAAGATGACTGAAGAGACTCAAAGAACAAATATCTAACAGCACAATTCCAAGCAGAATGAAAAATAAGTGGGGAGCCATGTGAGAACATCCCCCTACCTATGTCTTTCTTCAGTGCCTCAAACCAACCACTCACCTCAGCCTCCCAGTACAACCTGAAAACACACCCTTCTCCCCCTGGAGCACTGACTGGACCTTTAAATGGGAGAAAAGTGCTTCATCATGTTCTGCTTCTCCATGCAAAACCAGAAACTCCCATCCCCCTTCTGTCTCCTCCCCAACATGGTTAAAGGGACAGCGCCATCACTTCTCCAGCTCCAAGGATCTGCCTAGAACCAGAAGGATGGGAATGAGGCAAAGGGCAAAAAGAAAGAAGTTGGTAGAGGTCTTTTGGGGTGGATGAATCCATTTACCTGTCTATATAATGGAGATCCCAATAGAAGAAAAAGCAGAGTAACTTAGGGTGCAATGAGGGTTGAAATAACTGCCTGGGGGAGGTTCGGATCTGGGAGGGGTGTTTATAGTAGGGCTCCCAGGATTGCTGGTGGTCCTTTCAACTTCAACTAAGAAAGGGGACAGTCCAGGTTCATGTGGAGAACTTCACAGGAAACTGGACTTGACCCCTAACAGAACGTTCAGGATTCGGTCCCTGGCTCACTATGTGATTCTTCCAGATCATTCACCCACCCCCTCCTCAGTTCCCATCTGCACAGTACAGAGGGTGGAGTTGAGAGGGCTAGCGACCCCCTCCCAAGGTAAAGGCAGAGATTAACCCGCTCTCCCTAACAAAGAGTAGGCGCTGTCCCCGTTGCTGAAAAAATGACCACCAAAGCATTGCCCCCCTTCCAAGGCATTTGACATAAATGGAAAACAGTCACATAACTAAGTGGCAGGTCCCCTAAATCTGCAAGGTCCCTTTCTAACTCCCCAGTAAGGGTTATGGTGACAGACTTTGCTACTGAGAAAGGCTTCCACCACTTGAGAGCAACAAGGGAAGCCTCAGACATATCAGTTTGTCGTTAGGTGGGGAAGAGATAAGTTAGAACTGAGGAGATGCGGAACAGGGGAGGAAGATGCACTTCTTGGATGTGGAAAAGCGGTTACTATATCCACAGACAGTATGTGGCTTTCCCTCCCCCAGTTTAGCTGGAGGCCTCCAAAGTGGAAGCTCTTGCTGCAGTTGGGGGCTTGCAGCGTGTCCCTGGCCAGAGCAAGATCCCCTAGTTGCACACATGGGAAAACCCAACCCGGCAGAAAACAACTTGCCCAAGGTCATTCCACCAGCAAATTACAGAGCAGACCCCAGCATGCAGAACCTGGCATGGGTGTCCTCTCTCACTCACCTCAGTTTTCTATCCCTTGCCTGAGAGTTCCCTTCCTTGGGGTTGAGCAGTCTCCTACTTCCAATCTTAGGCACCACTATAGAGTTTTTGGAAACTGTCCCCTTCTCCTCTCCCAGGAATCCCTTTATCCATTGCAGTGTCTCCCACTGCCCCGTGCAAGGTAGCCTACTGTCCTTCCCAATGCCAGTTCTCCCTCCCCTATTCCGGAGCCCTCTCCAAAGTTCCTTGAGCCCTGTCACGGTGATCGCCGTAGCTATTAGGAGAATGCTGTGCCTGAAGCGAGGGATCCTCTATTCTCCGTATCTCTGTAGCATTCACCATGTCCCTATTTAGGACAGCCTTACTTCCTCCCCTATTCCAGGCCGGTGGCAGAGTCTCTGCAACCTCTTTCCCGAGGGCCTCGTAACTATCCGGAAAACCTTATGATTCCTCTCTGTCAGGCGTACCCTCAGTTTAAAGACTGCAGTCTTCCATCCTCCATCCTGAAGGTGTCCTGCCCGTATTCCCTCATTCTCTATTTCGGCCCCCCTCTTATTTCGTGCACCCTAACAGGGTCTTTCGACCCATACCCAGAGGTCCCCCACAGGTGCACTCCTGAAGTTCCCTACCCCCTTTCTTGACCTCAGGAGGCTCCTCTAACGCTGCAGCGATTTCCCCCTTGCTCCTTGGTCCCCCTGCCCCGCCCCTTACTGCGGCGAAGCCGGTCGGACCGGGGCGCGGGGGAGGAGGTGGTGAAGAGGGCGGGGCCCTCCTCCCCAGCCCCCCACTGCCAAGGGGCTGGACCAGGCCGAGATAGCTATAAAAGGGCCGGGCGGTCCAGGAGCTGCCGCAGTGCCACCCGCCCTGTCCCGGTCCGCGCTCCGGCTCCGGCTCAGCCCGGTAGCCCGCACCTGCTCCGGCCATGATGAGCTTCAGCGGCGCGGACGCGCTGCTGGGCTCCCCGTTTGCGCCGCTGCATGGAGGCGGCAGCCTGCACTACGCGCTGGCCCGCAAGGGCGGAACGCGCTCCGGGACCGGCTCCTCCAGCGGATTCCACTCGTGGGCGCGGACATCTGTGAGCTCCGTATCGGCTTCACCAAGCCGCTTCCGTGGTGCAGGCGCCGCTTCGAGCACCGACTCTCTAGACACGCTGAGCAACGGACCGGAGGGCTGCGTGGTGGCAGCGGCGGCGGCGCGCAGCGAGAAGGAGCAGCTGCAGGCGCTGAACGATCGCTTCGCGGGCTACATCGACAAAGTGCGGCAGCTCGAGGCACACAACCGCAGCCTGGAGGGCGAGGCTGCGGCGCTGCGGCAGCAGCAGGCCGGCCGCGCCGCCATGGGTGAGCTGTATGAGCGCGAGGTACGCGAGATGAGAGGTGCAGTGCTGCGCCTGGGCGCAGCGCGCGGCCAGCTGCGCCTGGAACAGGAGCACCTGCTCGAAGACATCGCACACGTGCGCCAGCGCCTCGACGACGAGGCCCGGCAACGCGAGGAGGCTGAAGCAGCAGCGCGCGCACTCGCTCGTTTCGCGCAGGAAGCCGACGCGGCGCGAGTCGAGCTGCAGAAGAAGGCACAGGCGCTGCAGGAGGAGTGCGGCTACCTACGGCGCCACCACCAGGAAGAGGTGGGCGAGCTGCTCGGCCAGATCCAGGGATGCGGAGCCGCGCAGGCGCAAGCGCAAGCTGAGGCGCGCGACGCCCTCAAGTGCGACGTGACGTCGGCGCTGCGCGAGATCCGCGCTCAACTGGAAGGCCATGCGGTTCAGAGCACGCTGCAGTCGGAGGAGTGGTTCCGAGGTGCGCATGTGCACGGGGATTTGGGAGGAACGCCCCCTGCTGTCCAGCCCTTAGGCTGCTGGTTGGGTGGATCAGAAAGGAAGAGTTAGTGATCTTCGCTTGGAGTTAACTGGACAGGAGGGAGCACTCTTCACTTCCCTTTGCAAAGCGCATGTGCCCCTATTCAAGTAGTAGTTTCACTTTGGTTTGCTTGTGGGCTGGCCTTAACTGGTTCTCCTTTGGTTGCCCTCTTCCAAAGGTCTGTACTTGCACTCTGCGTCTCCTCACCTCTCCACTTAAGTTAGGCAAGGAAATGTGCGACCGTCCTTCCATCAATAAAAAAAACAGGTTCCTTTTAGATCCAAAGTAGCACTGGCTGGCATCTGTCGGCAGCGCCTGTCTTTCCTGCCAACTCTTCCCATCCCCCTTTCCTGCACCTTGCATGAGAGATCCCATTCTTATGACTCCTCCCTAGCTCCTCCCCACTTTTTTTTTTTTTTTTTTTGTACTGGGGATCGAATTCATGACCTGGCACTTTCCTGGCAGGCGCTTGTACCGCTGAGCTAAACTCTTGGCCATGGAGTGGGGTATTTTCACAGTTTTTCTTCCCAGCATGGATCCATCACCACAATCCCGGCTTTGTGTGGCAGAGGCAGCTTTCAAGCTCTTAATACCAGCTTTCTTCATGAAAGCTGGGAACCTCTAAGTCCTCTATCCTCTTCCCAACTCGGTGCAGAGCTGAGTCAGCTAGACTGCAGTTGCCCTGAACCTGTGCCCAGGAGTTTCAGGGTGACCTTGACCAAAACTTGTGCTCTGTGGTTTTCATTTCTTTTGGAGTTGAAAGAGCAGGGTAGACCAGCTGGCCTTTTTGGGTGCTCCAGTATCTCTCCTGAAGCTAAAACAATGTTTTGTGCTGGAGAGAGAATGCAGAGATTTCAATGATTTTTCAAACAAGTCTGTGATTCATAGTAGGTGAGAATCCTCATCCACATGGATGGTTTCTAAATTTTTGCCAGCACTAGTAGAAAAAGCTAGGAATGCTAGGATTTGGAATTCTCTGTTCCTTCTCTATATCTCTGCAGTGGCAGAACCATCCATCCCCTCCTCCATCTCTGCAGCAAGGCCCCTCCCAGAGAAGACCTCTCTTCTTTTGAGTTCACCCTTCACTTAGGTAGACAGACCATCTTGGGACATGTGGGCCTACCATGTGGCAACCCTCCACAAAGACTCAGGCCATTATCTGGGCACTCAGGATTTTTACTTTCAGGAGATGCAGGCAAGTCTTCAGACCTATACTGGCCACCACAAGGTCAGAACCAGGAGCCAGTTGCTGACAGGGTCAGGGTGTGGCTGACATTGACTCCAGCTCTTGTGCTAAAGAATGTGCAGTCAGGTGGAGAAAGGGACAAAAGGGTTGGAGTACAGGCCTCTGCTCTGCAGTGACCTTGGACTCTGCACAAAAGCCTATGAGGAAGACTCAGTACTCTGGCTCCATGGTGACCTGATTGCTCAGAGCTCCCATGTCTCCATAGGTCACCAGCTCATTAACTTGTTCAACTATAAGCCTCCAGCTTCTAAGCTCGGAGTTCAGCCTCATGAGCCAGATTTCATACCTGAAACTCCACAGTACCCTTGGTGGGGAGCTGGACCAAGGCATTGGGACAAAAAAGGGGGCTTCCTTTTTTCCTGCAGGGTTTGTGGATTCCCAAGTTGCAAGAGAAAATCTGATGTTTGGAGACAGACATTAGATTTGAATCCTCTCTGGCACACACTAGCTGGGTGGCCTTGGGCACAAGTCTCTTGCCTATCTCATAGTTTGGGGTGAGTTAAGCAAACAGGATGGCTGGCACCCAGTAGATCCTCAAGTCATATGTGTCACCTTCTGGCTTTTAGGCATTAGAACCCAAATCCAAGTGTGTCTAACCATTTCTCTAATCCTTTCGCCATACAGTGAAGCTGGACCGACTGTCAGAAGCAGCCAAGGTGAACACAGATGCTATGCGCTCAGCACAAGAAGAGATTACTGAATACCGGCGCCAGCTGCAGGCCAGGACCACAGAGCTGGAAGCCCTGAAAAGCACGAAGGATTCACTGGAGAGGCAGCGCTGTGAGCTGGAGGACCGGCATCAAGCTGACATTGCATCCTACCAGGTGGGTGGGGGGAGGGGAGGGTCAGACTGCCTCACTCAAGTGGGTGATCCTGGATAACTCACTGCCCCTCTTTGAGCAAGGACATAACGGTTAGGACTGTGCACCTTGAGTCAGTCATACCAGTACTTTACAGTTGTGTAAGTGGAAAAGCCATATGCTTGCCTAAATTTTTCCTTCTCTGTACTGAAGATAAAACACCTGCTTTGCAGAGTGGAGAAGGTCAAAGAGACAGTCAGGCATTCAAGTGCTCAGCCACATTTTGGTCACAGTGGGCCTTTGGTTAATAGTAACCAGAGTCTGTGAGTAGTCTTGGAGAAGACCTGGGCATATTCCTCCAATTAAAGGCATCAAGTGAGAAAAAGAAACAAGCTACATCATGTACAGGTACAAATTCTCTATGATAAATGTGATCATTATGTATATCTAAAATGTAACAATAAAATCTGTTTGGAAAAGAAAAAAAGACAACAGGTGAGAGAAAATGCCACTTTCAAAGCACTTAGTACATTAGTAATATGGAGTGACTATAGAGATATTAAGAAAGAGACAGGGGCTGGGGATTTAGCTCAGTGGCATAAGCACCTGCCTTGCAAGCAGGCGGTTGTGAATTCGATCCCTGGTACCGATAAAAAGATAAAAAATTTAAAAAACGTAAAAGAAAGAGACAAACAAAAAGGAGAAAATACAAAGCAGCCATAGGAATTCACTGTACATGGTGGCTACAGTGGACCCAGTATAAAGAAATGAGTCTCCAAGTATTCAAAGTCAGCAATTATTTTGGATTTTAAGGGAGTTGTCTCCCACACTAGGGTAGAGGGAAAAGTTTCAACTTGTGTTTAGTGAGCTTCTGTATGTTGTTTTAGTCATCACATCAATAGCAGTGGATATGTACCAAGCCCTCACTATGTGGCAGATGCTTAGGGGGCATTGGAGAAGCAACAGGGAGAAAAACAAATAAGATTCTGTTTCCACTAAGCAGTTGGTAACTTTTTGTGATCTGTAAAAAGACCAGAACAGCATCTGATATGCTTCATTTTTGCTTCAGATTTTTCTGTCTCTACCAAGAGAACCCTGCAGCTTTGACAGGATGGGTTTTTGTCACCAGTGCTGGGCAAGGCTGTTCTGAGTTTGCACAGCTGGTCTAATTTCCTGGTGCTGCTGGCCAGGTACTGGCTGGTGGGTGATGTGGTTGACCTCTCATCCCCAGGAGGCCATTCAACAATTAGACAATGAGCTGAGGAACACCAAGTGGGAGATGGCAGCCCAGCTCCGAGAGTACCAAGATCTGCTCAATGTCAAGATGGCCCTGGATATCGAGATTGCTGCATACAGGTGAGTTGGGTTGGGAGCCTTTGAATGGTAAAGAACACTGTGTTCGGATGAGATGCTTAACCTTGGGTTTCAAGCCTACTTAGGCAGCTTGCCTATTTTAGATACAGCTCTTTTTTATTGTAATATAATATATACCATAAAAATTTGCTAATTATTTTTAATACACATTTCAGTCATGAGTACATTTCCATTGTTGTATAACCCTCACCACCATCTATATCCAGAACTTTTTTTTGGTGCTGGGGATTGAACTCACGACCTTGAGTTGCCCCTAGCCCTATCCAGAACTATTTTTATCATCCCAAACTCAAATTCTATAGCCCTTAAGCAATAACTCCCCATTCTTCCCTTCCCTTGGACCTTAATGACCACTGTCTACTTTCTGAGAAGCAGAAATTATGAGAGTGACTTCTTTCCATTCTGACAGTGGCTGAGAGCTTTAACTTTGGCTCCTAAACCCAGCCAGACAGATGATTGGCTTGGAGGAAATAGTGGTACTTAAATTTTCTGGGGCCTTTAAGAACTCTGTATTAGCTTTTAAGCATTTGTTTCTTGGGGAAATGAGATGGGGATGACAGTAACAGTGTCCACATCATGGGTTGTTGGGAGTGCGAGTTAATCTGTTCACCTGCTCATCAGGTAACACAGGTAGCACTGGGTGATCATAGGGCACTCAGTTAGGGTAGCTGTGAGAAAGCCTGTGACCAGAAATGAGGCGTCTAAGCTTAGCAGGGATAAGGAGTCAGCAGGTGTGACTTCATAAGGTACCTGCCCAGTTGCTGACTGGTAACCCTTAGCTTCCCATATATTGGCTGTGGTCTGTAATCTCACTACTCAGAATTTGGTTTATGAACCAGCAGAATCAATATCGTATAAGAGTATGTTAGAAAGACAGGTTCAGACCTTGCCCTTGGCTGCTGGAGGGGATCTGATCTGCATATTAACAAGATCTTGGGTGATTTCTGTGCTATTAAATTTGAGTAACACTGGTTTGGAAATGTTCTTATGCTTACTCTAAGGCAGGCATTGTGCCAAGTCTCTCTTACTTCATATGTCACTGAAATTACCATCTGAGATAGGGAATGTCATGACCATGTTTACCAATGAGGAAATTGAGGCCTTAACACATTCATGAGAGGGCCATAATTTGTCTCATTGCTGGTAGATTGCAACCACTGGTGGTACATGCATAATTATCCCATGCATGATTGTATCAGTTCTACCAGCAGGGGTATAAGCCACCAATAGGACAGTCATGGATGTACCACTGGTGGTGTTAAGAGTTTGAGTAAACAGGGCATAGTGGTACACATTTTTAATCCCACCACTTGGGAGGCTGGTACAGGCAGATTGCCCCAATTTAGAGGCCAACCTGGGCTACAGAGTGAGCTCAAGGCCAGCCTGAACTGTATAAAGAGACCCTTTCTCAAAGTAAAGAAAGTTTAAATGGCTTACCCAAGGTTAGTCATGTAGTGAATTAAAAAGTTAGGAGAAGAAACTGTTGCCATCACCCTATTTTTCTCTTCTTTTTAAAGTTTTTTTGTATTGGGGATTGAACTCAAGGCCTTCATACTGAGTTACCTTCCCTAGCCTTTTCTTTTCTTTTTTTTTTTTTTAATATTTTTGAGATGAGAGTCTCACTAAATTCTTTGGACTGGGCTCAAACTTAGGATCTGCCTGCCTCAGCCTCTCAGAGTGTTGGGATTACAAGTGTATGTTGCCAGCGCAACTCCCCCTCTATTGTTAAAATCCAAGGACCACAATAAAAAGTAATAGGAGGACCAGGCATGGTGGCACATACCTGTAATCCCAGTTCTTGGGAGACTGAGGTAGGAAGATTGCCATGAGTTCAAGACAGCCTGTAAGTTCAAGTAAGAACATAGTAAGTTTAAGACTATGTAGTGAGACCTTGTCTCAAAAAAGGTAACTGTTAATGTAGGAACTCTCTTTTGAATACCATTCTTCAGCGGGGGGGGGGGGGGGTTGGGGAGGGTTGGGTTGGGTTATTTCATAAACTGCAGCATTAGCTGCGTTAAACAACATCAGCCCCCTTGGTGTATAGTTTCTGTGTAGTCACTGGAGTAATCTGCAGAATGACTTTCTCATTCTCCAAGTGCCTGCCAATGCGGGTGGAGCTTAGGGGTGGAACGCATGCTTAGTGTGTGAGGTGCTGGGTTTAATCTCCAGCATCTAAATGAATAAAGAAATTCAAAGTGTCTACCAACAATTAAAAAGGAAAATAGATAAACTAAAAGAAAAAGAAATACCTTAGTAGGTATTTCATTCACATTTCTCTCTTTATCAAAACCTTACTCATTGGATGCCATGGAGTTTTCAAGATACTTTAGAATAACCACAAGCCAACAAATCTGCTCTAAGTTAATAGTAATGTGCTCCATTATTCATTCTACAGAAAACTCTTGGAAGGTGAAGAGTGTCGGATTGGCTTTGGCCCAACTCCTTTCTCTCTCTCAGAGGGACTTCCCCAAATTCCCTCTGTATCCACTCACATAAAAATCAAGAGTGAAGAGAAGATAAAAGTAGTAGAAAAGTCTGAAAAGGAAACTGTGATTTTGGAGGAACAGACAGAAGAGATCCAAGTGACTGAAGAAGTCACTGAGGAGGAGGAAAAAGAGGCCAAAGAGGAGGAAGAAGGGGCAGAAGAAGCAGCAGCAGAAGAAGAAGCACCAAAGTCTCCCTCAGCAGAAGAGGCCAAAACTCCAGAAAAGGAAGCCAAGTCCCCGGCTGAGAGCAAGTCCCCAGTGCAAGAAGAAGCCAAATCACCAGAGGTCAAGTCTCCAGAGAAAGAAGAGGCCAAGTCACCAGCTGAAGTCAAGTCTCCAGAGAAGGCCAAGTCCCCTGTGAAGGAAGAACCAAAGTCACCAGCTGAAGCCAAGTCTCCAGTGAAGCAAGAGGCCAAGTCACCCACTGAGATCAAGTCTCCAGAGAAGACAAAGTCTCCTGTGAAAGATGAAGCAAAATCACCTGCTGAGATCAAGTCTCCCGAGAAGGCCAAGTCCCCAGCAAAATCTCCAGTGAAGGAGGAGGCAAAGTCACCGGCTGAGGCCAAGTCTCCAGTAAAAGAAGAAGCAAAATCACCATCTGGAGTCAAATCTCCTGAGAAAGCCAAGTCCCCAGTGAAGGATGAAGCAAAATCACCAACTGAGGCCAAGTCTCCTGAGAAAGCAAAGTCCCCAGTAAAGGAAGAAGCAAAGTCCCCTGAGAAGGCCAAGTCTCCAGTAAAAGAAGAAGCGAAGTCCCCTGAGAAGGCCAAGTCCCCAGTAAAGGAAGAAGCAAAGTCCCCTGAGAAGGCCAAGTCCCCAGTAAAGGAAGAAGCGAAGTCCCCTGAGAAGGCCAAGTCCCCAGTAAAGGAAGAAGCGAAGTCCCCTGAGAAGGCCAAGTCCCCAGTAAAGGAAGAAGCAAAGTCCCCTGAGAAGGCCAAGTCCCCAGTAAAGGAAGAAGCGAAGTCCCCTGAGAAGGCCAAGTCCCCAGTAAAGGAAGAAGCGAAGTCCCCTGAGAAGGCCAAGTCCCCAGTAAAGGAAGAAGCGAAGTCCCCTGAGAAGGCCAAGTCCCCAGTAAAGGAAGAAGCAAAGTCTCCTGAGAAGGCCAAATCACCAGTAAAGGAAGAGACCAAGTCTCCAGCTGAGGTGAAATCACCTGAGAAGGCCAAGAGCCCAGTAAAGGAGGAAGCCAAGTCCCCTACAGAGGTCAAGTCCCCAGAGAAGGCCAAGTCCCCTGTGAAGGAAGAAGCAAAGTCTCCTGAGAAGGCCAAAACTCTTGATGTGAAGTCTCCAGAAGCCAAGACTCCAGTGAAGGAGGAAGCAAAGTCCCCTGCAGACACCAAATCCCCTGAAAAAACCAAAAGCCCTGTCAAGGAGGTCAAGACCCCAGAGAAGGTCACATCTCCTGCAAAGGAGGATGCCAAGGCTCCTGAGAAAGAAGTCCCAAAGAAGGAAGAGGTGAAGTCCCCCTCAAAGGAGGAGAAACCTCAGGAAGTAAAAACCAAAGAGCCCCCAAAGAAAGTGGAGGAAGAGAAGGTTCCAGCCACACCAAAAACCGAGGACAAGAAGGACACCAAGAAAGATGAAGTGCCCAAAAAGGAGGTTCCAAAGCCAGAGGTTGAGAAGAAGGAAGCTGCTGTAGAAAAGCCCAAGGAATCCAAAGCTGAAGACAAGAAAAAAGCAGTGACCCCTGAGAAGGAGGCTCCTGCCAAGGTGGAGGTAAAGGACGAGGCTAAGTCCAAGGAGAAGACTGAGGTGGCCAAGAAGGAGCCAGATGATGTCAAGGCCAAAGAACCTAGCAAGCCAGCAGAAAAGGAGCCAGAAAAGCCAAAGAAGGAAGAAGCACCAGCAGCCCCAGAAAAGAAAGACACCAAGGAGGAGAAGGTTACAGAGGCCAAGAAGCCTGAGGAGAAACCTAAGACCAAGGAAGATGCCAAGGAGCCCAGCAAGCCCAAGACGGAGAAGGCCGAAAAATCTTCTAGCACAGACCAAAAAGACAGCAAGCCGTCAGAGAAGTCCACAGAGGACAAGGCCACCAAGGGTGAGAAATAAGGCAGAAAAGAAAGGAACAACCAGAGCAGCCAAAGAAACTCAGGAGGGTCCTGGAGTTCAAGGATCAGTGAGTTGAATTTTCATTTTTCTTCCTTTTCTTTCTGCAAGAAGAAACTCTGCTTTGATGTTGGGCCCTCCTTCACCAAACAGGAATTTCTATTAGCAATATGTTAGTAAGAGAGGGCAATCCTGGTCCCCCGAACCTGATGCCCCAAACCCTCCCCAGGCGATGGACGATTATGTTATGATAGCTTATGTAGCCAAATGTGACATACGCCGAATGCCACACGTAAACACTTGATTACAAAACTGCCCCCCTCCTTTCCAAATAAGTGCATTTATTTCCTGTATGTACAACTGACAGATGACCGCAATAATGAATGAGCAGTTAGAAACACATATGCTTGAGATGTCTTAACCTATTCCCGAATGCCTTCTGTTTTCCAAAGGAGTGGCCAAGCCTTTACCCAGCATACTCTGTCCTGGAAAAGCTGAAGCAGGTCAGGCTGGGCACTGGCCACTTGGTCACGCCAGGGCGCACTTTCCACTGAAGTTCACCTTCAGTTGCTTCTGTGCAATAAAACCAAGTGCTTCTAAAATGAAAATGTGGCTCCTGTCATTTATTCTCTTCTCTTGAGTAGCCTGGGGTTAGGGATAAGGAAAGTCTGGATGTCATATCCAAGTTTGTGAGGGACTGAGCAAGGATCATCAGTTCTCTGGGGGCTCTGGACTTAGTTGCATGTCCTCATTGGTGCTGTTTTCCTGGGAACAAACAATATGCTAGGCAACATGCTAGGTGCTTTATTTTTATGATCTGTGGACTGGCATTCTGGGATGTGGTTTCTCAGTGTGGGCCATGGATAACCTGCATCCATGTCTTAGAAACCTTCAAAGCAGAGTGTGGTAGCACACACCTGAAATCCTAGCACTCAGGATTGCCATGAGTTCCAAGCCAGCCTGGGCTACACAGCAACACCCTACTCAAGCAAACAAACCATTCAAACTTGGGAACCCACCCTGGGCAGTTGTATCACAATCTGAGAGTGAGCCCTGGGAGATTGTAGGCTCATAATTGATTCTGCTGTATACTGAAGCTTGGGAACAGGTGATGTCCAGGAGAGCTTTGAATAGACTATAAGACTTCATATGGTTGTGGAAGGGGCTTTATGTATATGGGGCCATAGATAGCTAATTAAATTCACCTGTAATGAAACCTACAATGACCACTTTATTGGAACAGCTGACATATTCAAACCTAATTAATTGACCTCCAGTGTGCTGCTCTGGATATGATGTTGAAAGCTGTGGTCCTTAGAGATTTACATGAGAGTCTCTGTGAAATCCCTGTGTAGTTTCTTTCTCTCTCTCTCTCTTTTTTTTTTTTTTTAGAGGGTCTGTGATGCAATTCAGGCTGGCCTTGAATTCACTTTGTAGCCCAGGCTGGCCTTGAACTTGTATCTATCTTCCTCCTCAGCCTCCCAAGTGCTAAAATCATAGGTGTGTGGCATCATGCCCAGCTTTGTAGTTTCTAACTTTAGAATTGTCATGATGACTTTGTTTGCTTAGCAGCATTTTCAAGAAAGGCTTCTCTCCCTTCCTGGATCAGGTGGTCTTGGGGAAGATGACAAGTGAGCCAATGAGAACCTCTTTGTGAGATTTTAAACTTGAGGGCAGAGTATGTAGACATCAAGTTGGCAAAGGTAGGAGGATGTTGAAGTTAGGCGTGTGTAGGCATGTTACTGGCATGTGGAAAAGCTAATGAAAAAGGCTTAGATATATGGACAGAGGCAAGATACCTAGGAACCAGGATAATTCCAGGTTTTTTGCACATATTGTTGACCACTCCTTGTGCCAATAAATTCCTCTCTTTGCCAATCCCATTTAGGTTATGACTCCATCATTTGCTACTAAAAGAGTTCTGAATAATGTAGTTACTGAAAGTGGTGGTTGAATGCTGGAAATCACATGGTGATCCCTCACGGAACCAGCAGTGACCTCCCCAAAGTCCTATCCATGCTTAGCACCTCAGGCCAAGATCCAGGGTCACCTTTAGCACCCATTTTCCACCTGTCAAAAAGTCTTGAGTTTTTAAGAGAAGGAAATGCCAGACAGTTGAGGGTGGTCACATTTTAGCAATATAGGTTTTAGAAATGGTTTTGATTAGTTCTTCACCCACATTATCAAACATGCCCAAGGGCTCTATGGAAACCTAAGCATTAATTTTTTTCAGTGGCTCTCGCTTGAGGAAATCAGACAGCGTCTCCAAGCCCCCGGACATAGCTACAGTATCTGAATATCACACTGTAATCTGGAAACTAGAAAATAAATCTCCATGTGACTTATCTGAAAAAAAATTAGAGTTGTTTGATATTTTAGTTACTCTTCTTATTGCTGAGACAAAATACCAGATATCAAAAGTTAAAGGAGGAATTTAATTTAGTTTGTAGAAGTTTCAGGCATCATCAGCTGGCTCCAAGGCAGAGTTGCGCATGGCACAGGGGCAACAGTTCATGGTGGTGGAAAACAGCAAAAGCAACAAGGAAAGGAGGAGGTGCAGACAAGCTTCTTTCTACCTTTTTTGTTTTATCCAGACTCCTGGGATTACAGACTCCACAGATTGGATTGGCATAGCAATCACTCACCCTTAATTCCAGTGTACTCAGTCCCAGAATTCCACACTCTAGATTTAGTCACCTCTGGAAAGCCCCCAATCCCACTTCTGACTGCATGAGGCCTTTGGAGGACATCTAGACATAAACCATAACATCTGAGGAACCTAAAATGTATATAATGATAATTTTTTGAGATAACTATGTCTTTACATAAATTTTTTCCAACCTATTCAACGTATTTTATTTATTTAGTCTTTTTTTGAGATGGGGTCTCACTATGTAGTTCAGGCTGGCCTTGAGCTCACTTTGTAGCCCAGGCTGGTCTCGAACTCGAAACGATCTTCCTACCTCAGCCTCCCGAGTGCTGAGATTACAGGCATGGGCCACCATGCCCAGCTTCAACGTAGTTTTTCAAGATTGATATTCCAATTCCTATTTTAATGGTGAGAAAATAGAAGAAGTGATTATTCAGGACTCAATTGGTAAGTGGAATAGTTAGGATTTAAACTCACACTTAATTGAAGAGTCCTTATGTTTTCTGTAGCCCCATGCCACCAAATCCTGAGCAAGTTGCTTTGGTGTTTCATTGGTTTAATAACTGCTATGTAAGGTGATAATTGTCTCAATTTGCCTGTGCTAGAGGAGGTTCCCAGGATGCAGGACTTTTCGTGCAAAAACAAAAAGCATCTTAGGCAAATGGAGATGAATTGTGACCCTTCCCTAAAAAACAGAGACAGAGAATGAGACACAGACAGACAGACAGATTGAAAGAGACAAAAAGAGAGAGAAAGAGAAATGAACTCAGCAGCAATTATGGAAACTGCCTAGAAATCTATACTGATAAATCAAATATGAGAGGAGAAAATGGACAACTTCAGGCATATAAAGTCTCAAAAATTACTTCCTATAAATTTTTGTTGTGCATGATCCAAAAAAAGAATACAAACAGTGAGCTGAGGATATAGCTCAGTGGTAGAGCATTGGTTAAATATGCTTGAAGCCCCAGATTAAATCCCCAGCTCCATAAAATAAATATGCAAACAATCTAAAAACTCCATAAACCAAGAAATAGAAACACTAGATCTACAGAAAACAGAGTACAACAAAGGGAAAAAGAACTCTCCAGGATGATAACAAAGAAGAGTTCAAACACAACAGTTGTGGAGCTCCTACCCAGCCTGCAGTGGCTGTGCAGCCAAAGAAAAGCACTGAGCTGAGAGATTATTTGACATGACTGCCAAAGTGTAAAACTGAGTAAAAAGCCTTTAGTGACTACGGGAGACTGTGGGAAGAGTCATTGTAAACAAAAATGAAAAATAGAAGGGAAACAATTATCAACTGCAGGGCAAACAAAACTTATGTGTGAGAGGAAGTATAATTATTAATTTAAAAATTTTTTTTCCAGTACTTGGAATTGAATTGGGGCCTCATTTATGCTGAGCAAGTGTTCTATCACTGAGCCATGTCTCCAGTGCAAGGAAATATAATTGTGATACACTAGATAACAATGGTTTCATAACAGTAACAGAAACAATGAGTATGGATTATACCAAAAAGTAAGGTAAATACATAAGAAGAATGGGGGAAGGGAAAGAGAGGTGTTAATTGATCAAAAGCACTCACCTCTATGAGGCTCTAGGTTTGATCCTCAGTGCCACCTAAAAAAACAAAGGACAGCCAGATGTGGTAGTGCATGCCTGTAATCCCAGCACTTGGGAGGCTGAAACAGGAGAACTTCAGTGAGTTCGAGGCCGGCCTGGACTACATCAGGAGACCCTGTCTCAAAGCAAACAAAGGAACAAACTAACCAGTCATCTCATAATCAAAACTTTGGAGAAAAATATTAGAATTTCATAATTTTTAATGGGAAAAAATTAAAAATGGAGATTAGGAGAGACTGAAAAGACAGAGGACAAAATTGAATGTGATTTTCTGAACTGGATACTGGAACATTAGTGAAAAGAACAGTGAACTCCAAAGAAAGGTTGCGATTCAGTTATTAATGATATACTAGATTAATTTTGATAACCTATCAATTTTGACAAATGTGACACCATTGTGGAAGATGTTAACATGAAAACTTGTATATCCAGAGATTGCGTAATTGGGGGCTGGGGATTTAGCTCAGTGGCATAAGCGCCTGCCTTGCAAGCAGGCAGTCGTGAGTTCGATCCCTGGTACCGATAATAAGGAAAAAGACAAAAAAAAACCAAAAAAAACAAAAAAACAAAAAAACAACAGATTGCATAATTAAAATAGGAGATAAATGAACATGAGTGTGGAGGAAGGTAGGGGAGTACAGATAAATACCACAGTGCATGATAAAAGCAGATTATAACCAGGCAAAGAATAAAGGCATGAAAACAGCATCTAGTCCAATTTCCTAGTGAAAACTGGCGAGGAAACTGTGGCCAGAGAGATCAGAGCCCACACAAGTACAAACGATTGACAGCAGAGCTATACTTGTCCGTGTGTTGTACAGAGGAATATGGACTGCAGGTCCACAAATTTTGAGGGAGAGTAGAAGGGGATTGAACCTAGGGCCTCGTGTACGCTAGGAAAGCACTCACCCACTGAGCCACATCCCCTGTCCTTTTTATTTATCAGAGACCGGGTCTCCCTGTGAGGCCAAGGCTGGTCTTCAATTCTGATCCTCTTACCTTAGCCTCTTCTTTACTCTGTTCTCCTGCCTTTGTCTTTGTCTTCTCTGGAACATACTATATGGCAAAACCAGATGCTGAGGCTATTTGGAATATCAGAAGCCTCAAACCGCGGGCTCAGCCCAGTCCCCTTCATGAAAACATTTTCATGATGACCACAAGTAGCCTAGAGAAGGCAAGAGGCCCTGACCTAGCTGCCTCTCTGCTTTCTCTTAAGCAGGCGTGGTCCCAATACATTGTTAGAATTAGATGGCCTGTACCAACCAGGACTGACTTTAACCATCTGTCAGACAAAACCATCTTCCCTCTGGGAAGAGAAGAGAATAAACTTTA